TTTGTTGACTGAGAAGCGCAGGTTTGCTTTCCTGTGGAAACAGACATATTAAAAGACCCCTCCCCCGCCTTTCCACTCCCCCCCAGTTGCCCCAAACACATGGGAATGTGCATCTCAGCATCAGGTCCGGACAGTTCACTTGCCTACAAAAGCCCGGTGGCTTCAGTAAAGTCCCATGATTGCAGCTCCCACATCCTTGGAAGGTCTTCGGTCCTTCACCAGAAAGTTAATCATGCTCTCTGACTTGATGAGCAAGTTGCAGCCCAAAAAGAAGATGCCGAACATCACAGTCAAGGAGAGGACACAGAGAACAGCGATCTGCACCACCCGTGTGATGTAAAGGCTCCTCTCATCAGGTGCCAGGACCGAGGAGCCACCGTCGGTCGCCAGCACCGAGCTGGTCCCATTGCAGCAGGCCATGAGCAACCCCAAGCCCTGGGTCCTGTTGGCGTAAGCTCCCTGCTCGAGGAGAGTCTGGTTGAAAAAGGATCCATTCATGGTCTATGCACGATCCCAAATCTCCAGGGAAGGCAAGAGCTTGCTGTCCCCCTGCCCACCCTTCACCTGCCAGGGCTCGGTGCCACCTCCTGCCTTTCTTCTCACAACGCCTTGGATGGAGGGGAAACTTCCTCGAGGCGGCGAGCAGGTGGGAAGCCAATTTGTGCAGCCGAGGGATGGCTCGCTCCCGGATCCCTCCTGGCACAGGCAGCGCTAGCACAAACCCCCAAACAAGCAAAAAGAGAGCGAGAGAAAAGGCAAAGGGGGCCCGGGGAAGAGGAAGGCAGCCGAGGGTTGCCCCATGCCTCCTGCCCTCGCTGCTGCCCCAAAGCTGCCGCCCCAAAGCGCAGGGCAGCGGAGCGGTGCAGCCCCTTTCCCCGGGGGCTCTCCTGCAGGAGGGGAGAGCTGATTCCTGCCGGCTGGAAGCTCCACAAATGCAAGTTCCAAGCTAAAGTCTTCACTGTGTTCAAAGAAAAAACAGCAACTCCACCCCCTTCCAGCCTCCCCCCAGGACCGCCTTCCTCCCCCTCCACGCTCACCCAAGCTGCCCACCCCTTCCCCACGCGTGTGCACCCCCTCTCTACCCTGCCACCCGTGTCTGCACCCACCCCTGTGCCACCCCCAGGTGGGGGCTGACCCCCAAGGCCCTGCAGAGCAGCACCTAACTCATCCTTCCTCCCAGCCCCCCCACCTGCTCCCAAAATCAGCCCACATCGTCAGTATTTGTCCTGGACGGCTGGCAGGTCCCTGTCTCCCCCCACGAAGGCTCCCCTGAGCCTCAGGTCAGTGCTGCTCTTGCCGATCCCCGGTTGCTGCTCTGTGCCACCCACTCCTTCTTCGAGCAGCGCTGGCCCAATCCAGGCCAGTCCACCCCCAGCTCTGCTCAGTGATGCCTGCCCTGTGCCTCCAGATGAGAGCTGGATCCATCCCCCTCTCCGCATCATCTTCCTCTGGCTGGGGGTTTCCACCCCAGGCATCTTTGTCTCCCTCTTCTCCCCCTTCTTTAGCCCCTCCAAAGGGTAGCACTGCAATGCTGCACCCTGATCCCTGCCCAGTACCCCTTCCCCGCTCTGTCCCCAGCTCTTGGTCCTCCAGCAACATCACTGCTGCACCCAGGGCTGGAGCATCGCAGACCCTCTCACCCAGGCCCTTCAGCCCCACCGAGGCAATCCCAGGGGAAGTTTCATCACCGCTCCCCTCTCTGTGTCTGTGTAAGCTCCCAAAGTGACACCACGAGTGGGGGCGTCCAGGCTCAGTCCCCACCCTGCCCGTCCCACAGCTGTGCCCATGGAATTGCCGTGTCCCGGCTTCCCAGCTTTGCCTGTTGGTAGTTGCCTGGAAATGTCTGGATGGCGCAGAACAGCAGATCACCCCCGAGCCACGATGCGAGGACCTCGTCCTGATTTATCTGTGTACATCTTGGCTTGCTTTCTTTGCCCAGCCCCGAAAGGGGTTTTTAATAAACCTAAAATGAGAATTGATGAATTGCAGCTAAAGGCAGGAGCATGAGGCTGGCTGAGGATGGAGGGTGGCTTGGTAGAGAGAGCATCAACTGATCTTCCTTTTTGGCGGCTGGGACCTGTGCCCCTGTTCTGCTGCTGTGACTTTAGGGGCTCAAAAACCATCTGGTTTGGGTTTTACTTGTTGCTTTTTCCTCCTTGTTTTGCATGTGGCATTTCTTTCCCTGAAGGACTGCCCGGTCTGCGAGGGCAGTTTGCAGCAGAAGCCCTTGAGGAGGGAGGCAGAAAGCCCTGATCGAACAAGAGCATCTGCTCATGTTTAACCTAAGGGCCAGGAAAAATCCCCACTGGAAACCAGAGCATCCCCAGTGCCCCAGCCTGGGTGGGAGCTCCTCTCCCCGGCTCGCTCCCAGACTGAAGGAGTTTCTGCTCCCTCTGGTGGCTCCAGCTCCAGCCTCTCCTCTCCCCGCATGCCCGAGCACAGACTCGGGCTGCTGCACCCATCGCTCCTGGGTCACAGCCTGCGGTGATGGGGCCACTCCACTCTCCAACACTTCCCTGCCTGCTCCTTGCCTTCATCCAACCAGGGACTTGAAAACCCAGAGCATCCCATTGCCTATCACACGGTGCCTGGAGCTAACATCACAGCGATATTTTCAGGACAAGCAGCACCTTCCTGCAGTCGGGAGGGAAATTCAGTCCAAACGTGCAGAATTAACTTCATGCCGTCCTTGTCCTCAGGCAGGACGAGAGCCCAGATGGGTGCAGGCAGGTCAAATACTTCATTTGCTGATTTCTTCCTTCTTCTTCAGACTTTTTGCACCATGCTGGGGTATCACAGCTCATGTTGGGCACAGAGTTTCAGGACACACAGGGCTGTGTGTCCCTTTGGTGCCAGCAGCACTTGCTGGTTTGGGCAACCAGCCGCTGGGCAGGATGAATCCCCGAGTGAAGAGGGCCTGAGAGATCTATGGCAGGTCAGATCTGTGGGGTGTGTAGAGCTGAGCAGGGCTCCCACATTTCTGTCTAGAAACTTAGACAAATTCATCATCACTTCCATGAAGCATTCAGACATGCTCACAGGGTGATACAGTGCAGCATGGGGACAGGCTGCATGTGGCCAGAAAGCCCCGCATGATGGGGAAGGCCACATAGGCAGCATTTCCAGGCAGGACAAGTGCATGAAAAGCAGGAATTGAGATGCCCTAATACTGGCTAACGGGGTCTGCAGTGCAAGATGGCTCCAGGATTTGAAGCAGGGCAAGACCAAGAGCCTCCCAGAAAGCAGGTTTGGGGTTTGTATTGACGTCCCAGCCAAGGTGCAGCCCTTTCTGACACTGCATGAGGGTCGATGGGCTTCTCCTAGTCCCCTTGATCAAATCCTCATTAGCAAGGTTTGGGCAGGGAGTTGGATCCCAGGTGGAAAACGATCCCCTGCTGGGCAGAGCCCACGCAGCCGCGGGAGGGCAGCAGCACCCCGCAGGGACAGCGGGGCTGAGTGGGGAAGCAAAGAGGCATCAGAACTTCTTCTTTTAAAGCCAAGAAAAGTCCCCAGCTCCTGAGGCAGAGTCCCCGTCTCCATCTCACCCTGCAAACACCATCACCTCTCCTTGAGAGCCAGAGTTTATATTCTCTACCTACGCAGTGTTTGGCTCTGGGTGCTGGTTTGTAATGGAAGAACTGGGGTGTGACTTGGGCTCCATCCTTCATAAACAGAAAATAGGCTGGGGGAGTTTGCAGAGCAGGTCGTCACTGTACCTATGTACCATAGGGTGTATTTACGTCTTGTTTTCCTCTCATGCTGTTTTAGAGCTTTTCTTTTAAAACCCTGATTTCTGGCATCGGGTGATTTCAGGACAAGTGTAGTTTGTATTCAGAAAAAAATGCCATCATCCCCATCTCTCCCAGCACGGGGCTGTGGGTCTCCTACAGCACCTTGAACGTCGCCTCACGGCATCCAGCACTGCCAGGCTGCAGCTGCAGCTCTCAGCACCCACACAAGCTCGTTTTCTGCTGTCGGGCATTTCTGTGTGTTGGATCATCTTGACCCAGATTTGTGTTGTTGCTATCCCCAGCCCCTGTCACCTGGTGGGAGAGAGCAACCCAGGGCTCCAGGGAAAGAGCCTTTCTCTCCTTTTTGCCCTCCAGCCTGTATTTTGAGTGCCTCAGTTTACCCATCTCTGAGTAGGACCTTGGTATTGCAGGGGAACAAGAGGTTTATAAACCCCTTCGGGAGGCACCCCCAAGCAGGTCTGGCATTTCAGTAGGGACAATTCCTGTGCAGATCTGACTCCCTGGACTTGCTCGGTAGAGGAGGAATTTCTGAGGACACAGAGGGGGAAAAAAACCAATACAAGTGAGAAGAAAATCAAGTCCAAATTATCTAACTCAGAGCTGAACTTCCCTCCCTTTGCTGTGTCCAGGTTTATACCCAAACTGCTGGCTTCACCAGGTCCAATTTTTGGCTAGGTCTCACTCAGCTCCCAGCTCTGTTTCAGTAGAGATCCCCATTTGCACCAGTCCTCTGGGGTGGGGAGCTGAGAACCCACACACTCATATCAGTACGTATTTGCTCTCTATTTCCCCTTAAATCCTTGAACTCAGAGGCAGCTCAGCCTGGGTTTAAAACCCAGGCTGCCTTTCATGCAAGAGTTAATGAAAGGAGGGAGTGAGCAAGAGTTTGTGAGGAATTAAAACCAGGGAAAAGAGCCTATGGGAAAGAGCCTGTTACCAGCCCCAGGGCTGTAGGTCACCAGTGTACTTGCTGCCAGGGTTTATTAGGTCCTTGTCTGAGCTGAGAGAGCGAAAAAAAGCATGAGGATCTGCAGGCAGAGCGGGTGGGGGCACTCCCTGACTCAAAACTGAGTGACAAGCCAGCGCAGTTTCCTCCAGCCAGCCCCGCTCACCATGTGTGTCATCCACCCAGACTCATGATTCATCTCCTGGACTGCTCAAAACCTCTGGCTGCCTCAGAGCTGCTCTCCATCGCTCACGGCGGGGCTGGCCCAAGCAGCCCCCCACGTTCGGGACTCGGAGGAGAAGATGGGAAAACTCTACACGGCTGTTGGGATCCTCGTGCTCTGCGCTGCTGGCTGCTGGGGTAGGTTTACAGCCCGGGTATAGTCACTTGCTTAAAGCCAGGTCATTTAGCGATTATGTTGCCTGTGATTTCCCAAAATCCCAGGACTTTCTGCATTCCTAGGGTCTGTAATATCCTGGGAAAATTGCTCGGAGGGGGAGCTGGCAGCCTGAAACCTTGGCACTTTTCCCAAATACAAAGCACCGCTCAAGCCAGTTGGGCTTCTGCGGGGTCAGGGCCAGGAGGGTTTCTCAAAGATGTTACAGGGTCAAGACACGGTTTGGTGTGTTATTGCACTAGATGTGGCACGTTTATATTCTCTACCTACGCAGTGTTTGGCTCTGGGTGCTGGTTTGTAATGGAAGAACTGGGGTGTGACTTGGGCTCCATCCTTCATAAACAGAAAATAGGCTGGGGGAGTTTGCAGAGCAGGTCGTCACTGTACCTATGTACCATAGGGTGTATTTACGTCTTGTTTTCCTCTCATGCTGTTTTAGAGCTTTTCTTTTAAAACCCTGATTTCTGGCATCGGGTGATTTCAGGACAAGTGTAGTTTGTATTCAGAAAAAAAATTTCCAATGTCTGAAGTGTGGAGAAGTAGCCTAGAAAAGTGTTATCTCCTCCCAGGTGTGTTTCTGGGGCTCAAAGCAAACCTTGCAACTGCAAAATGGTGTGGTGTTTTCAGCTCCTGATTTATGAAGCAGTCCTACTGTTCTCCAGGAGGTTTGGGGCAACACTGTTCTGTCTAAAGAATTCCAGAATTTGTTGAATTCCCAGGAACAGCCTGAGGCTCTGATCTGCTGCCGGAGCAGCTGTCATCAGTACAGGACACAGGATAACCCCGGGAAGAGTCTGAGTTTATAGACCTGCAGTCTGAGGCTGTGCAGGTGATTTCTCCGGTCCTGTGCATCGGTGCCCATAATCAGCTGAGCTCAGTTTGGGGCATCCTCTCTCTGGGAAGATGCTGGCAGACAGGGAGAGGTTCAGAGAAAAGACACAGCCCCAGGATGGCGTGGGCAGGAGACCAGCCAGAAAAGCCCAAATCCTTATCGCTCAGTCCAGCAGAAAGGCCAGAGAGGATCTAAGTATGGTTTATATCTTTATCAAGTGTTCTACAATATTTTTATCAAGCTTTCTGTGTGCACATTCTTGCTTAAATTGGCAGAGGGGGAAAAAACAAAGTGTGTGGCTGGCTCATGCAGTACGTAGAGGAGGTTACTTGGAGTGCAGATTGGGGACTGAGTAATTTTCTCCAGCCGGGGAAGGGTGATGCTCAGCCACAGACGTCTGGGGTATTTCAAGTGCATCATTTCACCTTGGTCGGGGGGCTGCCACACTGCCCAGCCCCAGGCAGGTTCTTCCCATGCTGCCCAGTCTCTCTCCTGTTTCCCTGTATTTCATGCGCTAGGATTTCTTTTTTTTTAAAGCCTGAGTCTTTAAGATCAGATCATTATATGAGACCAGCTGCTTTTGTAGTAAAAAAATGCAGCTTTTGTACTTCAGTTTATTAGTTTTTATGACTGGAAAAACAAGCCCCAAAAATGAAAAAATAAAAAAAAAAAAAGAAAAAAAAGAGAGAACTAGAAACCACAGAATTTATTAGTTTAGGCTGTGCTGGAATCTTGTTAACCTGCTCACAGGCAGGCAGCATCCTGAGCCCGGGAAGCGCTGCTGGGCACTCAGAGGGCCAAAACCCAAGTGGGCTCAAGCTGCAGCATCCTCTGCTTTCCTCCACCTATGTTTTTGTTCCTACATCACCCCAAGGTCCCCCCTCCCTGCCTTCCCCCTACAAAGCCCTCCTGACACCGCACCCTGCATCCAGCCACGCAAGCAGTGCTGGAAATGCCAAAATAGAGACTTTTCCCCACAGTGAGGGGGGTGAGTCTGCCTGCTCGAAGCAGGAGGAGCCGCATGTTTGGATGGTGATAACTGCCCTGTGTTAATCACCAATGGCACCCGGGGGATTTCAGCCCCTTCCCAGGGGGAAGGGATCACCCTGCTCCATCCAGCCCTGGGTTATGTGCAGCCAAGAATGGCTCCATACAGTGCTGGAGGTTGGGGAAGTGTCCTCCATTCCTGGGCATGTGTCTCGGTCATGGAGCGATGGAGACCATGGGGCCATGAGGCTGCTTCGGGCAGCCCGAGGGGGCAGGTAGCGATCTGCAGGGACCCCCTGGGCAAAGCCACCACTGCCGGCAATGGCACGGTGGCATGATGGGACGATAGACTCCAGGGCAGCCCGAGGCATGGCAGCACCCCTCCCGCAGGGACCCTCCGTGCTGCAGCCCCTTTTAACCCCATGTTCTGCTCCCCAGCCACAGGGCCGCAGGTCTGCCCAGGTAGGGCAGCCTGGCTTGTGGCCCTCGTTCCAAAATTAACCTGAAAATTGGGTTTATATCTCCAGCATGGAGGGGGGACACCAGATCAAGGACCCACAGGCTATGGGGTGGTAGCAGGAGGGGAGGAAAGGAAACAACCAGGGCCCAGAGGCTGCACAGAGGCAGGAGGTAGTTTGTACCAAATGCCGGGGAGCAGATGAGCTCTCCAGCCCAAAGGGACAGTCCTGGGGCTCATTAGCCCCAGAGCTCAGGTTTTGCAGCACAAGGAGGCAAAGCGGAGGCAGCCGGGGACTTGGCCGGCAGATACAAGCTTAGAAATGCTCCACATCGTCTTTGAGTACAGCTGAGTCTCACTGAGACCAGGGTTAACACTGCACAGGGGAAACTGAGTCAGGGAGCAACTGAAGGACTTGGCTCAAGTCACAGGGGAAACCTGTTTCAGATAGGGTTTGGACAATGTGTCTCACCTCCCAGATGCTGGTGTGAGCCCTGTGTCCCGTCCCCTGGCTGGGAGTGTGGCTGGAGCACCCATGGGTGGCAGGGGCCCTTGTCAGCTCTGCAATTCCCCAGCAAGCTGGGTGCTGGGGCGCTGCTGGGTGACCAAACCATCCTGGGGCAAGCTAAAGTCCACCCCTGAGGAAATAAACCCCACAATGGCATTAAATAGGAGTCTGGGCCGGGAGCATTGCTGGTGGTACTGGGTGCTACAACCCAGAGTCAGACGTGGGACATGGCCACTACAGGGAGGGACACGAGAGCAGAAAGCGATGAAACTCCTGGCACAGGGCAGGCAGCTACCTGGCACCTCTCCCCCGATCCCTGACCGAAGGGCCACAGTGTTGGTCCAGATATCAAAGCATCGGGGCTCCCCAGGGACGTGCAGTTTTGGAAGCTGTTCCCGTGTTTGGGCAAGTGGCCTTGGGCTTGGCAGCTCTGAGAGTTTAATCCTGAGCCCCTCGAGCTGCCAGAGCCATCCCCGAGGGCTGCCAGGGTAATTCCTCCCCTGCCATCCCCGGAGGGCTGAGCCGCTGCCAGCCACGCCGGAGCTGGCTCCCAGCTGCACGGCACAGCGCAAATCCAAGGCACGCGCCCCGGCGCTGGGCTGCAGCCGCCGGCGCTTGGCAAGGCGGGAGGGATTTCAAATGGACGCGGCA